GAAGATATCACACAGCACACTCAAGACAAATAAAGACAAAACCCAGAGTATTGTTGTCATCAACAGTCTGCACTTAACAGACATAGCACAGAGAATGCCTTTGAATGCACAGTGTCTCTAAAGTTGGCCAGTTTGCAACCAGGACCTTGGCGAACCACTAAGTGAGCTGCAGTGAAATGAATTCCAGCCATTTTAGCTTGTATCTCTGCAAAACCTCTCGACCTGGATGAAGGAAGCCTTGCAAAGACAGAGCTCCTTGTGATCTCTGCCAACCCGTCAATCATAATAGCACAATTCAGTTTAGTTGTACACTAATACTAATGCCTACCAGTGATGTGTTTCCTAAAAGCATCATTAGCTAACTATGTTCAAAAGTTCCATTGTTACCAACGAATCGGTGTTTCCCGAAACCATAGTTCAAATGAACATTCGCAAACAGCATTGGACACTTACGTGGTTGGAACTACAGTGCTCAACCTGTAGTTAGAAGTATAGTTTCTTGTTAGTAAGGCATGTGGACTTAAAGGTGACATATCATGAAAATCTGACTTTTCCAGGTTTTAAGTGCTATAATCAGGTCCCTGGTGCATCTACCAACCAAGGAAACGTGAAAAAGATTAACCCAATCGCTTTGTTTAGGTAAGCCTTATCTGCAAGTGTCTGAGAAAACGAGCGCATTTGATTTCGCTCCCTTTCTGAAAGAAGAAAGTCATATACACCTAGGAAGACTTGAGGGTGAGGCTAATTTTCATTTTTGGGTGAACTAACCCTTTAAGTCAACATTCAGTTCACTTAGAGAAATGGAGAAATAAATACATTCACTTTATCATAAAAGCACTGCCCTTGAAATTATAAGAGCTATATTTAGGAAATCGCAATGCTTGAGTTCTACGTCCATAACACTGTAGTGTAACATGATCAGATTTCTGAAATGGACATTTTTTAGTTCAGTGGTCAAAAGACCGTTGAAATCTCACTTGTTATTTTATGAATTAAAAACGGGGACAATACTTTTTCATAACAATTGCTATTGATTACTGATTATTATGTTGCCTGTATTAAAGCCCTAAGCATTTTAATACAAGTCACCTAAAATCACACTATGAAAAATAGTAGACATAACCATTGCAAACAACAAACAGATCAAAGCAGCAAAATTATGACTTTACAAAACACATTACAAAAATAAAACAAAATGTATTTAACATACCTTTTTTGTGAATGTGAATTTAGCTGTTTCAAGTAATTAAAATTTTTTTTTTTTACTTATCACGTGTTATGCGCTATTGGAAATGGATCAATAAAAATTAGAAATAAATAAATGTAATGAGCAATAAAATACATGGAAATTAAAAATAAATAAAATACATGGAAATGAGTAATATTTTTTTATCGGCATTCTGCACATTTAATTGCTGCAATTTTAATTTAGTTGAACTACTTTAGTTAATTTAGTTCAATTTAATATTTATTAATATTATTTATACTCATCGACATGTACTTTCACCCATGCTATAGTTAAGACGTGTGTGTGGGAATACTGCCTTGTGACAACGAAACTTTTCAGAACGTTTAAAGTTGTGTGCAAAACAATCCCGCACCCTGTTCAGACCCTGTTATATAATACATAAAAACAGTATTACTGTAATTTAACATGAATAGTTAATACGTGACTACTTTGAAACCGATAAATTGATGATAATAGCGCTCTTTTCTCATCCATGTCAAGTTCTTCATGGCTAAAGTTTTGGCGTGCCCCCAAGTAACCAGTGTAGCTCTCTGTTGGAGAAAATAATCACTACACAATTGCTCAGGTACACAGGTAGTTTTGCAGTGTATTTGATTTTACAGCATTAACTTAACCCATTTGTCTATACACAATTAAAGGAATATTACAAGCTAAATAGACCACAAAAAGTTAGTTCACCCAAAAAATAAAGTGTCATCCACAGTAAATATTTTTGAATTATATTTCAGTGTGTAAGAAAGTATAGCAAATGTTTTATGAGTTCAATCAAAGTACTATAAATGACACATTTCTGACACCAGCTCATACAGAAACAAGTTCAGTTTTTATTGCCAGGATCCCTCAGTTTCACAGATGCATTACATGAAGTGCTTTCACAGCCTCCTATGATCTAAAGGACTATGTCGCACACAGATGAACAGGAAATAGTTCTTTTACACTGCTTTTTAGCCAAGTAAATCCCACAAAATGCATCACCGATTGCATCAGTGTACTTCCTGTCTGTTTGCATTCTTCAAACTCAACAAACGGCAACAACTAATCAGCAAACTCATATTCCATCTGGATACAGTTTTACACACATCAGAGGGAAGTAACACTTATTTTGGCTCTACACTTCTTCACAGAGAGGAATAAAGATATATAGATTTCATTGTAATACATCAGAATCTGCTGGTACCAGGTTATCACAGTGACTCTAAAATAAAAGCATTTGAAGGGGAGATGACATGTATGATGTACAGTAATGCTGAAGGATGGTTATTTAACATTTCGTTTCCCTTTGCGGTGGTGCTGTGCATTTCGTTCAAGTCCGGCATGTTTCGTGAGTGTGTGCAGGCAAGAGTCCAGTCATTTTGCTCTTCTTCTCGTCACATTAGCAATGCACCTTTAGGTGAGGTAAAGAGTGATATTTGGGTGCAATTTGGAAAGACACAAAATAGCAGTTTTATAAATATGTGCTGTCTCACAGTTCAACATAAAGCACTCTAGGCAATTTGTGTGAGAACAAAGTAGAACTGGTCTGGCTTGTCTCTTAAATCTTTGTGAGAACACTTGAATCAAATTGGCTGCAATCTTTATTAATAGAAATGGTCTATTTTAAGTCATGCTTTCCTTAGTAACTTAACACTACGAATTGTTTTCTTCTCAAATCAAGAGCTGTTCAGATTCAGTGGGATCAGGCATAAGGCTTCATACAAAAAAAATAAAAAATAGAAAAGAAAAAAATCACGGCATACACTTTGTCCCATTACTAACATCCAAATGGACAGTTCTACAACTGTGAAAAGGCATGAAATGAGCATTTTTATTTCTCTGGTATGTGTCATAATCATAAAATATACAAAACAAGTCCAGCGAATTATTCCAGTGCTGAATTCTGATGCCTGAATTCTGAATTCAAGTGGCTATTTAAAGCAGGAATTAATTTTAACCTCAAATGTTCAGTGCTAAAACAAGAAACATTTTACCGATTACCACAGAAAATCATTTCGCCTGGTCTCGCATTTTGTACACTTGTGAAAAAGACATACACTTTTAAAAAGTATATATATATATATGAATTTATTTAATACACGAGTTTCACAATTTGAGTTGAATTACTGAAATAAATGAAATTTTCCACGACATTCTAATTTATTGATATGCACCTGTATGTATATATATATATATATATATATATATACATATATATATATTAAAAAGTATTATTACAGAAATTATACACTTAAAAACAAACTTATGTGTGTATTGTTTTCAGACACTTAACTGCATGTTAATTAAATTATTAATTGCAATTCAATGAAAAGTTCATAATTGTTATAGTTTAAATTTATATTAAAATTAATGCAATTGCAATTAATTGATTAAAAAAAGCAAAAAGCACTTTAGAGTGCCTTTTTAACCTACTTAAATAGGATTTCTAACTTAATGATTCTATTGTCTTTGAAATATGGTTAAAGTACTGCTGAATGTACTGACAAGCATTTATGATAAACTAAAATATAATGTAATTTCTAATGAAACATATTTTTTAATTGCACATTTGTAATTTAGTACATTTAAAATGTATTAACTTTAAATGTAATATTAAATAACACACTATGGTTAAAATTATAATCAAGTGCTTTGCATGTGCTTTAGTATATTAATAAACACATCAAAATAAGTGTACTTCTTTAAAGTACGACAACAATTATTTTAACTGATTTAAAATGCACTTTAAATGAAAACTTTTAAATTGACATTCTTATAACTTTTTAAAAGTGTACTTAAGTGTATTAAGAAATATCGTCATGAAAGTGTCTCTCTGAGTACACTTACAGTACCTTTTAATTTCATTAAGTAAAGTTTTTTTAAATGTACTTTTAAGATTTGAAGTACACTACAAGTGCACATTCAATACAATCAAGCGCACTTCTTTTTCACAAGGGTAGTCACAAACAAAAACAAGTTTACCAAAATGCACACATTTGATGATTTTCGCTCTTGGTGTTGTCACTCTAGAGATGAGCAAGAAGCCTTTAACCCACTGCCAGCAGAGAAAAAGGTTTGAACGGGCTCTGCCTATTTCTGATACTGTGATGTTTAATAGAGGGTTACAATTACACTGACATGTTAATAATTTTCCTCTAGTATATACACTGAAGCCACCTATTTCAACACAAATAAGGTATCTAATTAGAATGTATTGCTCGGTATCTGGACACGATCGTTTGCTTGTGAGCATCCGGTTCACTATGTAGGAATCGGATGAAAAATACTTAAAGATAATATGATTTTGAACATTTATTGTCACTAAATGTTTTCTAAAGTCGAGTCTGAGGGTTGCAAATGATGACTTTTGGACATTCCGATGTTTTTGAACAACATTAGCCAATGATTAAGAGTTTCCTACCAGATCGGATCTTGCACCACAGGCTATCGTTGTTAACACGCTGTCACAGTGATGGGACTACTTAAATCTAGCCCTGAAAACCTTTTAGGGTGCAACAGAGATGTTAATAATAGTAAGATTCATTTGAGTAAGAACGTACTTAAGCCGACCAGTTTGTTTGCGTGCACTTTTCTAGTAAGGCTTGTCAATGTTCTTGTCACTTAAGGGACATTTTTAGGGATTTGCTAACATTTTCATTGGCCTTTTCATGCGTCTTCTGATCTTTCTCGCTGCCATGGTTTGGCCATCGATGCTAACATGGTTTGTTGACGTTGCAGAGCAGTTCGGTGACTTTAATGAGCCGTGCCACGGTGCTCTGGGACTCCTCCTGCAACCGCTGGTTGTTCTGCCTGAGATTTTGCACCTCTGCTTGCAGCATTGCCTTGTCCTCTTTCTCCTGTGGGAGGCATGCAAACATAATGACTTTCAGGGTCGAGCGTTCTCACTCTGTATTGGCAGGACACATCCACGCCACATGAGGGGTTGCTATGCCTGAATATGTCGATGGAATGACACACAGATGAAGACAATGGCGGAAGCTGGGGAAAAGATGGCTTGCTTGATTTGCACATACAACAAAATACGCCACACTATTACATGCAATGCAAACATTGATCCTTAGATCCTTAGATGAACAAAAAACTGATTCTTACATTGAGGCCCTGATTTACTAGAGGTTTGCATGTATACACAGTGCCGTCTATGAAGTCTCTTCTGTTCACCAAAGCTGCATTTATTTGATCAAATATACAGTAAAAATAGTAAAATTGTGAAATATTGTTACAATTTAAAATAACTGTTTTCCATGTTAATATAGTAAAATGCAATTTATAGCTGTACTTTCAGCATCATTACTCCAGTCTTCAGTGTCACATGATCCTTCAGAAATCATTCTAATATGCTGATTTATGCTGATCAAGAAACATTTCTGATTATTATCAATGTTGAAAACAGTTTTTGCTGCTTAATATTTTCGAAGAAAACCATGATACTGTTTTTAGAAATAGAAAGTGCAAAAGCATTTACTTGAATGTCTTCACTTCTGATTAATTTAATGCATTATAAAAAAATATATATATATATATATATATATATATATATACTGTATATAAAATTCTTACTGACCCCAAACTTTTTTATTTATTTGATTGGCACTTCACCAATGGCAATACATTAAAAAGCAAAATAATTTAACACATTTCAATTGGAATGTATATTTATTAATGAATTGGACAGCTTAAATTTCCATTTATTGTGTGGAAAAAGTTAGTACACCCCTACATTTATTAAGTGCCTTAAACTACAATCAAATCCAACAAATAATAACCGAAAATTAGTAGAAAATCACTAAACAGGACAGCCACACTTTATATGAACCTTATTACAATGCTCTGGTTTGTTCATAAACCCTAAAACAATCTAAATGTCTTTGCCACTTTTGATCAATTAATGCATTCTTAATAATAAAAGTAATCATAAAAAAAATGTGCATAAATGAATTATGCATGAAGGACTGACAGACAATTATACAAATGTCAACAGGTTATTTCTCCCAAATGAATGCAAGACCAGCTACAAAACGGAGGGGTGTACTTATTTTCCACAGTAGACATTTTGAATGAATTTCTGTATATTTTAGATCGAACAAGCAAATTAGTAGCTTTTATTATCTCAGTAAATCAGGACCTGCATGCAAATTAGTTCTTGATTTCAGCAAAAAAAAAAAAAAAAAGCCCAAAGTGGCATCAGACATGCTGCATCAGTCATATGAAGCATTCATTAATTAAGCTCTGGACATTCTTGAAAAGACAAATACATGCATTTTTCATAACGTGCATGCATCCTGAATGATATTAATGCCCCAAAACACTGAAAGAGCAATGATGCCTCTAAACATGGTAGCAATTCACAGTAGACTGTTATCTGTGCATGTATAATAATGTTCATAAGGCCACACTTTTCTCTCAAGGTGACCGAAGTTTTCAGTAAGCTATGATTTACCTAGATGAGTGTGCTGGAAAACTGTGGGACATTATGCAGTCAACCATGCTCACCCTCGCTTTCCCTTCCTGACCTTATGTGGATAATGGGATCAAACAAAGGAGAACTGAGAACCTGGATCAGCTATAATATTCATCCTGACTCGGAGACCTTAAATCTATAATACAGATAATATCAGTCATACAGTTGTAGGTCGATGTTAATGGTCTGCAGTAATTCTATAATGTGTGTGTGTGTGTGTGTGTGTGTGTGAACTATGACACGCCTACTCTGTGTGCTGACCAGCCAATTACAATTAACCTCAAATCTCTCCATTTCTTAACATCCATTGTAGAAAACGAGCAATAACAACAAAACTAAAACACTCAAAAGAAATTTAGCTCCCATAAGCAGGAAAATTCTTTTGAGAAGTGTGTGAAATGTTCTTTGTGTCGAGGTAATTCATCATTTAAAGGAATGTTCCCAGGTTCAACACAAGTTAGGCTTTATGGCAAAATTTATGGCAAAATTAAAGTGCCAAAAATGCTGTCTTGTTTCAGATCCATTAATAGTAATACTAATAATCCATATAAAATAATGAATAGATAATGCTCTAGTTTAAATAATTAGATTTTTATTAGATTCCATTTTGCCCATTTTGTGTTGCTGTTAAATAGTAGGAAATAGCGAGAGAGAAAAAAAAACATTTTACCCTTAAGGGCTGATAAGATTATGTTTTCCATTCCCTAATAAATTATTAGGTCACACTTTGTTTTAAGGTGTCTTTGTTATGGCGTAATTATATATTTAAGTACTGAGCAATATTAATTAACAAGATGTGTAGAGTTAGGATTAGTGCTTGATTTGAGGTTAGTTGCATGTAATTATACATAATTTACTGTGATTACTACAGCAAGTACATGTAATGTGTAACAAGGACACTAAAATAAAGTGTTATTATTATTAGTATTATTAGTACAACATATTCTAACTTAACATTGTATTTTAAAACTGGGCTTTTCCAAACCAAGAAACTGAAGGTTGAGTCTTTAATCTAAATGAACAAATCCCTGTTAATGAAGAGTGTCACATAAAAATATGTTGTAACACTTTACAATGAGGTCCCATTAGTTAATGTTAGTTAATGCATTAACTAACTAACATCACCTCCTTCACATCCTTCAAGGAATAGTTCACTTTAAAATGAAAATTTGCTGAACATTTACTCACCCTCGGGCCATCCAAGATGTAGATGAGTTTGTTTCTTCATCAGATTTGGAGAAATGTAGCATTGCATCACTGTCTCAGCAATGGATGCTCTGCAGTGAATGGGTGCCGTCAGAATAACCGCTGATAAAAACGTCACAATAATCCACAAGTAATCCACACCACTCCTGTCCATCAGTTAAAATTGATTGAATTGATTAAAATCCATCATTACGATGTTTTTAACTTCAAACCATCGCTTCCAGCTATAATACGAGTCCATAATCCTACATTTCTCCAAATCTGATGAAGAAATAAACTCATCCTAATCTTGATTTAGTAACTTTTCAGCAAATGCTTATTTTCGGGTGAACTATTTCTTTGAGCTATACTTTTTCATCATTTTGTTGTTAATCAAGTGAGAAATGTCAAGCATGTTTTTATTTTTAGTTACTGATTAAAATCTGAGTAAAAATCTCATGCTCTACTTGCCTTAACTGCCATTGGTGGGTTAGTGTTGAGAGTGAGCATGGCTGCCCATTGTCCCTCCAGCAATCTTCTCATCTCCTCTGTTCACCCTGCTCAATGACAAGACAGGTTTCTTTTGCTTGTCCCGCCCTACCTCTACAGTCCCTCTGTGTGATTGGCTCTGTGAAGTAGCAGTGGCTCTTTGAAGTAGCGAAGAGGGCAAGGACTGGACAGGGCAGATATACAGACAAGGATGGGTGGATGTATTGAATGGGAGATATTTGAAGGGGTTACAGTGTGCTGCGACAGAGAGAGCTGTGATGTGACAAACCCACAGAGGACAAAGTACCTTTTGGAGGTCATCCTGCAGTCGCTTCAGCATGGCCTCTAACTGGGACACTTTCTCCTCAAGGTGACCAGGCGAGTCACTGCGAAGGCAGGGAGAGAAAGAAGAACACCAAACAAAGAAAAACAAAACAAAATGATGTCCAGTCAAGTGTTTGGATTAATTCAGATGTTTTAATGTTTTTGAAAGAAGTCTCTTCTGCTCACCAAGGCTGCATTTGGTGATCAAAAATACAGTAAAAACAGTAAAATCGTGAAATATTATTGCAATTTAAAAAAGCTGTTTTCTATCTGAATATATCGTAAAATGTAATTTATTTCTGTGATCAAAGCTGTATTTTCAGCATCATTACTCCAGTCTTAAGTGTCACATGATCCTTCCGAAGTCATTCTAATATGCTGATGTGTTGCTCGAGAAACATTTCTGATTATTATCATAGTATTTTTGCTTAATATTTTGTAGGGCTGTCACAAATGATTGTTTTGGTAATCGAGTAATCGGTCGATTATTTTGACAATTAATCGAGTAATCGGATATTTTTTGTGGTAATAGACCTCAGCAAAGACCCAAGCCTTTAAAATGACATAAAATACACATATAATAACAATGAGGCAATACAATTTTGTTCAAATAAAGTATCAAAAGCAAGTAACCATATGGTTTTATAGAACAACACTGTTAAAATACATAATATAACTATCATCTTATGAACAGTATGTATTATAACAAATGTCTCCAGGGGGCACCAATGGACTGGTGAACAAATCCTTGTTTATTACTGGCCAAACAACCTTTAATTCAAATGTTTACTTAATCTTTAATATTTGGCCACTTCTTTATGATAGAAATGCTCCAGCCACTGTAATTTCTTGAACAAGAATGTGGACATCAAAACACGCAAACTCAAAGGGAGGACTTGAACTTTTATTTTGAAATTGCGATATTGTGAAATAGTGTAACAATTTAATTATTTGAATATATGGTCAAATGTAATTGATTGCTGTGATCAAAACGGAATTTCCAGCATCATTACTCCAGTCTTCAGTGTCACATGATCCTTCAGAAATCATTCTAATATGCTGATTTGGTGCTAAAAGTGTTAATTCCTTTCAATAAATAAATAAATAAATGTTACTGTCCCCAAACTTCTGAGGGGTTCTGTAACATTTACAGTACTGTTTCATAAAAGCTGTCAGATTTAAAGTTCTCTTTGAGTTGTGAAGGAACATTTGCTAACCGTCTTGCCTCATGTTTTGAGCGCTGTGTAATCTAATGTCGAAGAGTTCATGGCACAGTCAGCCTCACCTGTCCTTGATGTCTTTAAACCTGGTTTCTGTCTGACCTGACTGGTTTTCTGGGGATGCTTGTGATTCATCTCCTGGCTTCCGGTCTGAAACCAAGCAGGACATTACAATATTAATACTCCATCTTGTCACAGAAAAGTAACCAGACCAGCATTCTTCAGTGAACAGACTAAACTCACACTTTCACATGTTCAAACACAAATGTCTCACCTTCTCGAGACAAAGCTTCCAGAATGTTCCGGCAGGCGTTGGCCAGATCAGAAATCGACTGCCACTCTTCTTCAGACGAATCTGCTGTCTCTGAGAGAACTGAAATCAACAGAAATATATTGTAAAAGGTCTTTGTGGAGAGTATTTATCATGTATTATCTGTTGGCATCTACAAGAAGTGTTTTTTGGTCTCAAAAACACAATGAAGAAACTATTTTGAATTTTTTAGCCAACACTGACCCAGAGATGCAGCTGATGATTTTTGAACATTCTACATACTATTTCAGTCTTTCTACTTCAATAATTCATGTTTAAAACCATGTGTTACATGCCGTTTCTTTGTAATTAATTGTGAAATTTACTAGCAATTTCTTAATTGCTAGTTAAAATTGTTTCGACTCCTTTTTTTTAGTGCAGACAGTCACATTTGCAACTGTTTGGAGTTTAGTGGAATTCTCTCTTCATCTGTCAAGACTGAAATTATTGTTCTATGCTTAAACGAATAAACTATGACACATTTTTGGATAACAAGATTAATTTATGGTTTATGACCTTCTCTGTTCTCCATTACATTCATCCCCAATGCATTTTTTTTTAGCATCCTGAGGGTCTCTGGTTACAAATTGGACCAATCACAGCTGTTGTGGTCTGTGTAGATGCAACATGAGTTACACTGGAGAGACGTACGGCACAGGATACACTTTAACCACTGCAACTATGCAGAGCTTACAGCATGAATCGGGCGCAGAAATATAAATAAGCCTTTAGTCTGTTCTTAAATCTGAATATAGCATTAAAAATGATTCTAAAAATGAATAACATTTACAGTTCATATGTTTGTCCAAGTGAAAGGCGTGGTGTGGGATGTATGATGCCTTATTAGGGAAATAATTCAGTATAAAATAATGAAATGTAATGTTTTCTGACACCTAATTGCATGTTAATTACAGTTAAATACAAATGCATTTTAGTTGAAATTTATATTTAATGCAATAAGCTGAAATTTAGAGAGCTTTCTAACCCACTAAGTAGGACTTACATCTTACATCTTTATATGTAATTTCATAATTATTTCTATTGTCTTTGAAATATGATTAAAGTACTGCTGAATGTACTGACAAGCATTTATGATAAACTAAAATACCTTAATGTCATCTCTATTGAATCTTGGGTAACACTTTATTTTAAGGTGTCCTTGTTACACGTTACATGTACTTACTATTATAATAACAATTAATTATGCATAATTACATGCAAGTAACCCTAAACCAAACCCTAATCCCAACCCTAACCATGTAGTAAGTACATGTAGTTAATTAATATTACTCAGTACTTATATGTATAATTACATTGTAACAAGGACACCTTAAAATAAAGTGTAACCGAAACTTGTATGCCCTGCATTTAAATACATTTGTAATTACACATTTGTACTGATGAAGTTGCAATTTAGTACATTTCAAATATATCCACTTTTAATGTAAAAATGATAATCAAGTACTTTACATGTGCTTTTGTATGTTAGTCAACACATCAAAATAAGTGCACTTCATAAAAGCATGACAAAAGATTATTAAAACTGATCTAAAATTTCACACACATGCAAATACAACATATAACTGATAATAACTTTATATGTGAAAATCAAATTTTAACTGCAGTTAGGCTTGGTGTTTGAATCATTTGCCAATAACTTCTAACTCTGCCCCCAATTGCACAAAGTGAGAGGTGGTTCCTTACTGACAGTCTGAGTTTGTTGAGTATTTACACATGCACACCCATATGCATTTTAAAGAAGGGCCTGGAAGATGTAACTGCTCAACAATCGAGGGGCAGAGGCACACAACAGATGGCCCAGAAACAGTGTCTTGATTTGAGGCCGTTTAATACCCTTATCCCAACCAGCCCTAGCCTAGCCCCATCTGTCTGAGCTTTACACTCATTTGAAAATGTCAGTGCCATTCAGGCCTTGATTCGTATCTTTTAAAGCTTGTTAAATTTGCTTATGAAGCGGAGGCTGGTCAGCTTATTTTTAAGCAGGCAGCATTTACTGTAAAAAAGCTTAGAAACAAAAGAGACTGAAAGCAGGATTAAATACAGTCTATCATGATATCTATATTTCTATATTTTTTTATCATGATTTATCTATATTTCATCTTATATATATATATATATATATATAAAGGATGACACCCAGACTCTTAACCTGAGAAGATGGGGAAAATATGGAATTATCAATATTAAGTGAAACTGTCGGATTTTGCCAAATTGGATTTAGTGCCAAAAAGAAGAACTTCAGTTTTATCGGTATTTAGCTTGAGAAAATTGCACGAGAACCAGGCTTTGATTTCATCTAAACAGTCCAAAAGGGAAGAAGAAAGAAGAGTAGAGGCTTGGAGGACAAATAGAGCTGGATGTCATCCGCATGGCAGTCGAAATTAATACCAAATTTCTTAAACATATGACCAAGAGATAATAGGTAGATAATAAATAAAAGAGGGCCTAAGACGGAGCTTTGAGGAACACCAGTAGTAACAGATGAAGAATATGATCTAAAATGTATCTTTCTCTCCCTGAAAGGGACGCAAAATATTCAAGGCATGTTTTCTACATTTGTTTTTAGTTAAAACAAGCCAGAATGACAATTAATTTTTAAATAAATAATTACAGTAATCAACAAACCAATATAACACTACACAGTAATAAATGCTGTAGCATTATTTACCCCTTCTTTCTTTCTTTGATATTCTGATTTTAGAATATAGTTTTTAGAATACTGTAGTGTATGATGTATCGAAACGGACTAGCGCCACTCACATACAACTCCCGTTACAAACAGGCCATACTGACCGTGTTTGAGAAATGAATACTTATAATTAATAATTAGATTTTGAATTAGTTTTTATTAGGGGTTGAACGGATCATAGTTGATCCGTGATCCGTACAGACCAGGCCCCACGGTTTGGCATACATGTGATCCGCGAATTAGTTGCAAAATTGAACCATAATAGAGTCAAAGTTTATCATTTTGTACATGTTTACACACTCAAGAGATTTTAAACCATTCCAGCACAAAAAGAGTTGAAAGAGAACTCGATTCGGTACTCGCACGCTGTTTTCTGTGCACACAGCCACACAGAGAGAGAGGCATATTTCAGACGGTGTGTGAACACTGAACTGGATCTCCTTGCGTTTGAAGAGACACATACACATAACATTATGACAAAATACCCATATCGACAATCATTCTGGTAAACGCAGTCGGTTATGTCTTATGTGAACGATAACAGCTGACAAAGAAATCGGATGTGTATCATTATATCAGACCCGTACATCAGGACTTAAAGGTACAGCAGCCTATAAATACCTGCTGCTGTCATTAATGCTAATAAAACAACAAAAGACAGCTTTGACAAAGATGAATCTATATTTAATTTATACAGTGAACACAATGCACTGTTATTTTACACATAATTATTACATTTCTGTACCTGAAAACTATGGTTGGACCTTATTTTAATTGTAACTTTGTTCTGTGTTTATCTATGCTTGTAATTTGTGTATTTGTTCTTATTTTTTATTGGCTGTTTACTTGTCTTTAATCATGTTTGAATTTTCTTAGTTAGGATAGTAGTTTTTGCTGTGGATTGAATAAGTACTTAGCTTTAAGTAATAAATAGAAAGCAAAGTTACATTAAAATATTTTTTTTCTTGCTGATCCAAAAAACGATCCAATGCGTGACTCAAAAACCGTAATATGATCAGAACCGTGAGTTTTGCGATCCATTGAACCACTAGTTTTTATGTTTATACTTTCTGTTTTTAAGTTCAGTTTTAAAGTTTTAGTCATTTGTTGTGTTTTTGTCATTTGTATTACTGTTTTTATTAATTCCTACTTCAGTTTTAGTTTTCGTTTTTTTAGTATTACAAGTTAAACTACATGAAAATGAGAAATTTTGCACTGGCAACAGGCTGAAATAATATAATTTTATATGTGTATATATATATATATATATATAGTTATTTCCGTTAAAGATGAATGAATATTTTTTTATATTTTTAATTTTAGTTAATTATAATAACCCTGGTTGGGAAAGAATTGAATGTTGTGTGATCTTCAGTTGATTCGTGGAGGATGCCCAGTTTTTCTCTGTAACCATGTGTATGATCTGTAAAATCTGTTCAGATTTGTACACATTCCAGCCTTTAGATTAAATGAAAGAGCTCCTGCTGTTTTTCAATTAATTACAGAGTTAAACCTCTCACAGTTTAATATATCAAAATATCCCATCTGTACTTGTGGAAACTGCACTTGTATATTACCAATGAAGCTAAAATAAAGCTTTAGATGTTTTGAAGCCACACAGTCACTGTGGAAGTACTTGTATGACGGATTATTTAATAACCCACTGCAGATAATGGCCTGCTGTAGCAACAGTGGTCTGAACCTATAACATTAACTATATCAGTCATTTAAAAATAATACATTTACTCTGTATTATCCTGTTAACATTAAGAAACACTTACTCTTAGTGATGGAGTTATGGAGGCTCAGAGCTCTGGAGTTTCTTTCTGCACTTTCCATGCAGGAGGATCTCATGGTCACATCACTGACCGACGGCCTCTCTTCAGGCCCCTGATCACACACAAACTAGACAGAGAGGAGGAACGAAACCATCAATGAGTAGAAGCAGGCAGTATGACCACAATATCATAGTAAATGTATATAACAATATAGTTATTTTGCTTGAAATTAAACCTCAAATTTATTGTACTGTTATATGTATGTACACTCTAAAACATGCTGGGTTGTTTGAACCCAACTTTGGGTCAAATATGGACTAACCCAACTTTTGGGTTAAAAATGTAATTGAAAAATTTAACCCAACAGTTGGGTTAGTCCATATTTGACCCAAAGTTGGGTTAAAACAACCCAGCATTTTTTAGAGTGTAGCAATTATGCATAAAGTGTAATACAGAGAATTAAATGCTACAAATTAAAGGTTCTTTAAATCATTAATTCCATGTATATATGTATGTACATATGTATGTATGTGAATTTTATTTGATTAACGCATGATAAGTCTGGTATCATTAAAAAAACGCTTTACACTGAGTTAAAAACAAGACTCAAAACAACCAAGTAATCAATAAAATGTTTCCTTCATCATACTTTTTTCAATTACATTTTTAACCCAACAGTTGGGTTAGTCCATATTTGACCCAAAGTTGGGTTAAAACAACCCAGCATTTTTTAGAGTGTAGCAATTATGCATAAAGTGTAATACAGAGAATTAAATGCTACAAATTAAAGGTTCTTTAAATCATTAATTCCATGTATATATGTATGTACATATGTATGTATGTGAATTTTATTTGATTAACGCATGATAAGTCTGGTATCATTAAAAAAACGCTTTACACTGAGTTAAAAACAAGACTCAAAACAACCAAGTAATCAATAAAATGTTTCCTTCATCATACTTTCTCTTTTGTCTCACTGAGTATTATTCATTCATTCATTCAAATTTTATTTTATTAATGCAAACCAAAAAATGATTAATGATAAGTTTGGCATCAATAAAACAAGTTTTACAAACAAAAGACTCAAATCAATCAATCTGTCTGTCAGTCAAATAAATAACTAAATAAATAAGTAAATTAATATTCCTCTATTTTCTCATCATATTCATCATACTTTCTCGTTTGTCCCACTGAGTGCATTGAGTAATAATTACACGTTTTATTTATTGTTTTTAATTTTATTTGATGGATGCAAACCAAAAGCAATATATATAAATTATACATAATTAATGATAAATCTGGTATCATTAAAAGACAGCTTTACACAGAGTTAAAAAAGAGACTCAAAACAATCAAATAAATAAATATTTCCTGCATTTTCTTGTCACATTGATCATACTTTCTCTTTTGTCCCACTGAGTACATTTATTTATTTATTTATTCGTTTGTCCGTTCGTTCGTTTGAATTTTATTTAATGGATGCAAACCAAAAGTATATTTATTAATTTAATTTATACATAATTACTGATAAATTTGGTATCATTAAAAGCTTTACACTGAGTTAAAAACAAAAGACTCATCACAGCAATCAACGAACTAACTAATAAATACATCAACACATAATTATTACTCAATGCGTAGATAAAAGGCAGGAAATAGAGCGAGTGAGAGAAAGTGATTTTATAAGCGGAAGAAGGGAAAGGATGAAATGGGAGGAACAGAAGGGAAGGAAAGAGAGAGAGAGAGAGAGAGTGTGGGAGACGGATCTGAGAAGTTAAAACCCTTCTGAAAGCAGCAATCACTTTCCAAATACAGAGAGTTACACAAGCGGATCCATCAGATGCCCTCTGTGTGGGAGACAGATACTGAGCACAACAGCAGCACATCATGCCATGATTCAGGTGCTTCAATGCATTGTGCTCTTCTGTAAGTGTCAATGCCCTTAATATTGTTTTTAACTAAGCCTCATCGTTAGGCGTGTAATGATTCACTTGTTTTCTTGGTGTATCTATGCCGATGCATATGCATCAATCCTGGAACATGGATTTTTGAATCATGAATCATTTGTTTTGGTCGAGAATCTATTTAAAACGTTAAAAAACGAATTAATCATGATTTGGTAAAATATCATTCAATATTTATATATATATAGTTAAATGTGATGTTTCCAGACTGAGAAATCTCATGGAAAAAAAAAAAAAATGGAATACTTTCCTAAGTGCGCTTGACTTAAAAATATTTTATTATAGTTTATTAATATTTAGAATTAGTTTGTATTTTAATATTTTCTGTTTCAATTTAAATTTTAGTTAAAGCTTAAGTAAATTGATTGTGTTGTTTGTTTTCTTAAATATGTGTATATTATGTATATGTACATATGTATATAGTTTTTATAATTTTTAGTTTTAGTTTATTAATTTTTATTTCAGGTTTAGTTATTTTAGTACTCAAGTTAAATGAAATGAAAATGCGAAATGTTGAAAAAAATTGCTGAAAAAATATTTAAGTTTTTTAAATATTTGATTTTATTTCAGTTACATTTTTTTTTTGTTTTAATTTTTTTACCCTGGTTTAAAAATGACCTTCATACGATTTTTAGCATTTTAGCATGATTCTTGACTGAAACAACGATTCACAGAATAACAGGGAATTTTAAATTGCTATTTCCAGACCAAGAAAACTCATGGAAATATATTTTTTCTTCTTTTTTTCTTCTTATTTTAAATGGAATATGGAATACTTTCTTAATAGTTTATTATAGTAATTAGTTTTAATTTTAGTATAATGATTTAGATTTAATTTAATTATAGTAATTTTATTGCATGTTTTTGTTTTTTCAGCTCAAAAATATTTTTAGATAAAAAAGTTCGTCAAGACAAACTTTAGGTTGGCTTGAGAAGCCTAGACTGAAAGTTTAAAGCAGTTGTAATAGCCTGAAGTTTGAACATTTAGATAGATCATATAGATGATGATAACATGATTCTAGCATGATTAGCATGTTTTTAGCATGATTAGCCTTTTAGTAGCATATTGCTGGCATGATTAACAATTTACTAGCGTGTAGCTAACAAACTTTAGGTTGGCTTGAGAAAGCCTAGACTGAAAGTTTAAAGCAGTTGTAAAAGCCTGAAATTAGAAAATTTAGATAGATGTTGATAACGTTTCTAGCATGATTAGCATGTTTTTAAGCATGATTAGCCTGTTACTAGCATATTTCTGGCATGATTAGCAATTTACTAGCATGTCGCTAGCATGTTTCTAGCATGATTAACATGTTACTAGCATGTTGCTAGCAAGATTAGCAAGTGATTAGCATGTTTGCTAACATGACTAGTAAGAAACTAGCATTTCGCTAGCATGATTAGCAAGTTACTAGCATGTTTCTAGCATGATTAAC